TTTCCCTAAAAAACTATTAAGTTCTATGGCAAAGTAAAGCTTGGTTTCTGCATATTTCAAAATTAATGTAATAGAATGTGAATACATCAAATATTCTGCTATGGGCTTTTCCATGTATTGTTTTTCCTTATCATTTATTTTATCACTTAATTCCACAGTGTCCAAGGATACATCTTCATCTGCATGTGACTATTCTTCATTCAGCTTGCCAAAGCCTTTTGTAACCCAGAAAGCCACTCCTGTGAAAAAGGATCCACCTAAAGAGAAACCAAGTTAGTATGTTTCAGGGACTTCTAACAGTCCTGCATCAAGGCAAGGTTCCTCATTCTAGGCTTCTGTTTGGCTGCAGCTTCGCTTCCTAATGTGACACCCAATAAGTGCCAGAGAAAGAAGAGCGTACTTTTAAAAAACACGTTTTAAGTTGCTGCTGCTTTTATTTGCCCTGCTTGTCAGGTCAATGGAGCAGTTGTTTAACATGGGCTTAGATATTGCCTTTTAGTTGCTACTTTCATTCCAGCAAGATGGCAGCAAAATACGCAACGTGATCAGTATTCAAAAGTCAGATTTGTCACAGTAGAGATGCGTGTGGCACTTGAGCATCTGTGCTTCGTTTTCCTGGGTGAGGAGCGGGGCAGGTTGGAATACGTTGGAGAGTTCTGCTGTAGGAGACTCTTGTAACTGTGCAGCAGCAACTAAAACGTGTCTGATTTTTCAGTTCCTGATGCCTCTCTGAAAAAGAGGAAACCTCGTTCTATTCTACCCTTCAGCACATTCATGGATCACCGGTCAAAAGATGAATTGCACCAGGACTGCTTGACCCTGGCTACATGTCTGAAAACGAAAGGTATCAGTCTGAAACTCAAATACTTAGAGAGCAGGTGCTTCAAAGTATTCAGAAGCGTGTGTCCAAGGACTTGGCTTTGACCACCAGGCATTATTTTTTTAAAATACTTACCTTTATCAAAGTGTGTTGCTAGTTGTGGTCTCTTATCTAACTTCTCTTGCAGTGTTTCAGCACTCTGCCACTCCAAACAGGTTTTGAGTAGGATCCTATGTTGTGGAGATTGTGTATATGCAGACAATTCCACCCTAAGTGTTTTTCACCTTCAGAAGTAAATACGGACAGGAGAAAATAAGCCATGGTATTCTCACAGTATGGTTCCTTAGAGCACGCAAAGGAACGTGCCATGTTTGACATAGAATAAATGTTCTGCATAAACATGGTCCTTCTAATCAAACATGCATGTTAAGTTCTAAGTGTTGATCTGCAAATTGTTAAATCTGCTATACAGGAAAGAAAGTAGAAGACATAAGCATTTGCCAACAGTTGAGTGTAATGGAGTGGTACAGTGACTCGGCAGGTCCCAGTTCCCAGTGTTGTATCAAATCTTAAATATTATTTTTATCTGGTTTAGATAATGATGATGTGTCCCCTGACCTCAAGGATCGCATCCACTTGGGGCTGTTCACAGATAGGGCTTCTCTGCACAAGATGATTGATATGGAAGGTAAGTGGAATAAGGAATCCACTTGGACAATATGTCTGTTGTAACTGTTACATTTAAGGAGAAAAACTGGGAAAAATGCTTGAATTCTCTTTACTGTGGATTAAAGTGTAGAATTAAGAATGCAGGTCTACGTGAAAAGAAGAAAAGACATGTTTTTTCCCAAGTAGTTTTTACATCTTTCAAATGCAAACCTGCAATACCTTAAGCTTGAATAATCTCACTTTTGCCAAGATATTTTACTATAGCAAATAATGCTATTGCACTTATGCTGATGAGAAGTGTGTTTGTTTCCAACAGGGAAGCATCACTTGGAGAATGGACATCCAGAGCTCTTTCAGCAGCTCATGTTGTGGAAAGGAGATATGAAGGGTGTCCTCCAGGCAGCTGCTGAGAGGGGAGAGCTGACAGACCAGCTTGTAGCAATCTCACCCATGGGTATGTTTGTTCTTGGAACACATAAGCAGATCAAATTAGCTGCCAAGGGTGGCCTCATTCTGATTTTTCTGGGTTGGAAACTCACAACTGTTCCAGACTGGAAGGCAGTTGCTTCTCTAACTGACAACAAAAATCAAACTCCAAACATATCCTATTTATGACAAAGACCTGAATGTTTCCACAAGCACCCTTAGGGTGGGATAGCAGGAAGTAGAGTGGTTTCCTTTGGGACTTCTTGAAGGAGCAGGCCCATCCTTCCAAGCACGAAGTTGGTTCTTTGTAGTATGTAGCAGTCCTTCCAGCTTGCTGTTGATTTAAATATGCTTTTAAGTTATTTTACTGGTAGTGAAGTCCTACAGTCATGTTCAAGCCCTAGCTTTGCCCTGTTTCATTGCCTCAGTGACTTGTATTAGGATGGTTAAGAAACAAGAAAACTAGGCTGGGGCAGAGAAGAAACCAGTGATGATGTCATCCCACAGGAATTCTTCCAGTTTTAAAACTTTGCCTCCAATTGTATTGCCTTCTCTTTTGCAGTTGGGTATCAGGCCTGGGTTTGGACAGTAGAAGCCTTCGCGAAGCAGCTGTGTTTTCAGGAGCAGTATGTGAAAGCTGCCTCCCATCTCCTGTCCATCCATAAAGTGTATGAGGCTGTCGAGCTCCTGAAAGTGAACCATTTTTACAGGTTGCTGTATATTTATGTTTAGGATTTGCTCTTGTTTTCTGGTGGGGAAGATGTAACATTTTGATTCACTTTTTGTACACAGTCAACTAACTGTTCTGTCTGGTTTCTCTTATGTGTATTAGGGAAGCAATTGTAATTGCTAAGGCCAGGCTGCGTCCAGAAGATCCAATTCTGAAGGAACTCTACACCAGTTGGGCAGCTGTGTTAGAGAAAGATGGTCATTATTCCATGGCCGCCAAATGGTGAGTGTTCCTGGGAAGAAGACAGAATTGGTTCCGTGCCTGAAGGTTCTTGGGTTTGAGGCAGCTGAAACCTGTTAAACGGTCTGGTCATTATTTGTCTAAGGTGCTTTCTGAGCCTAATCTGGCTGGACTTCCTCTAGAAGTCCAGAGGGCAGTTCAAAGCAGAAGGTCCAAATGCCATGCTGCAGTAGAGCCATCTCTTTCACAATCACAGAATGGTAGGGCTTGGAAGGGACCTCTGTGGGTCATCTAGTCCAACCCTCCTGCCGAAGCAGGTAGGTTGTAGAGGACCTTGTCCAGGCGGGGCTTGAATATCCCCAAAGAAGGAGACTCCACAACCTCCCTGGCAGCCTGTGCCAGGGCTCCGTCACCCTCAGAGGGAAGAAGTTCTTCCTCATGTTCAGGTGGAACTTCCTGTGCTTCAGTTTGTGCCCATTGCCCCTTGTCCTGTTGCTGGGCACCACTGAAAAGAGTTTGGCCCCATCCTCCTGACACCCACCCTTCAGATATTTATAAGCATATATTAGGTCCCCTCGCAGCCTTCTCTTCTTCAGGCTGAACAAGCCCAGCTCCCTCTTCCCATAGTTCTGTTTCTCATCCAAGCCGTGCGTGGTCTGCACACTACCAGAGGTTTCAGTCCAGATTATTAGGCTTTCCCTTTGTAGCTCTGCATCAGATCAGGCACCATATGTCTACAGTAAACTTTGATAAAGCAAAGTGATAAGAGCTCTGAGAACCTGTGGAAAATGCAGGTTTATCTTCATTTGTATGTTTGTGATTTTGTGTTGCAAGACAATTTTAAAATGGTATTTTAGTACTAATCAAGTCAATTTGTTTTTATCTCTCTTCAGTTATTTGGGGGCTTCCTCACCCTATGATGCAGTTAAGGTGTTGGCAAAAAAGGGGGATGCGACATCCCTTAAAACTGCTGCTGAGCTTGCGCTGATATCTGGAGAGGAGGAGTTGTCAGCAACTTTGTCTTTCAGATGTGCCCAAGACCTGCTGTTATCCAGGAACTGGGTGGGAGCTCAGGAAGTCCTTCAGCAACATAAAACTTTATTTGTGAGTCTGGTTGTTTCCTTTCTGCTTTTTTTAGTGTAGTCTCTCTCTAGATTAACTTGGCACCACTTCCCATATGTTAGTAGTCCACAGGTAGTCCTTTGAGCTGGTTTTGCCTCAAAATACTTTTCTAGAAGGCAAAGAGCCCACAGTGGGGAGGCACACAGGCTCTATGTTGTTAGTTGTATGAGAAGTAGTTGAGAAAAGTGGGATTTTTTTGAAGTATATAATACTGATCATATGAAGAAAGAAGTGAAGTAAAATATTCGCTGTTTACATTAAAGGAACACATGAGCTAACTGTGGAGGCTTAATCCAGAAATTCGTTTTCATGTGGACTGAGCAGCAGCAGGCTAGCTTAGCTTGTTCTGAGGTTTCCTTCTGCCCCGAGAGTCTCTGAGTCTTATCAGCATTGTTCTTTGGTAGCTGCAGTTGTGAAACAGTCTATCGCCAGCAAGCTGCTAATAGCCATGATGTTCTTAAATTTGTCTACCTGCTGTGGTCAGTAAGGCACTGTTTTTCTTTAGCAGTAGCTGAGTGTTTTCGTTTTTTTCTTGTTAAAGGGACAAAGACTTGTTTTCTGCCTTAACGAACTGCTTTGCAAGTGCCTTAGTGAAAGACATCCCTGTGACCAAAAGAGCCCCATGCCTCTTTGTTATCACAACTGGGAGCTGAACAGAGAGGCCTCATTTCTTGACATGGTGATAGAAGTGTGGCAGAATGTACTGGGCATGGACACCACTGAACAAGCAACGTGTGCACAGGAGCAGCTGCGCAGTATTGAGCATCCTCCTTCGACCAGCAACACGCACCCAAAGCAGGTGAATTGATTTAGATCTGCCTACACACTAAGCCTTACTATGCCATACGCAGTCAAATGCAGCTGCTTCGTGGTGCTGTGCCAGCCGTCCCCAGGGGACTGGTGTCTACGCCCTGCTGCAGGATGAGGTTATAGTCCGGGAGAGGCAGGTGACAGGCAGCTGCGACGGCTTGCGTAGCCACCAGTTTGTTTCTGCATTTTGTTTCTATGCAAGGTAAGAACTGACATACGGTGTCAACGACGAGCAGCAAGATCACGGATATGTGCTGGCCAGGTGGGAGTGATTGGCAGAGCTGAGTAGTCTCAGCAGCGATTCAGGGTTTTGTGTGGAATGGTTAGGAGAGGCAGGGCTGCTCGCTGTTAAAATATCCTGGCGTTCAGAAGGTCTGTTCATAAGAGTGGTGCTCCTGCAGCTCTTCTCTGACCGCAGTGAGTCACCGACCTTTGGTGTGCTCCCACTTCTCATCTGTTTAGTAGGACACATGCAAGCACAGCAGCTGATTTTACAGTTATGAGGAATGTAAAACTGCTTTATCTCTTGCATGAAGGAGAGTATGTAAATTCCATTGTCATTAAAATTGTTTTTGGTTAAGTCACATGCTTCTGGGCTTTTCCACAGTAGTCATCAGCTGCGAGTATTTCATACTTTGCAGTAAAACTATTAATCGTGCTCTCTGGTGCTTCCTGCAGGTGCTTTTCCATATCTCCCATGACCTGACCCTTGCAGCCCTGAGCTATCAGACTGCTGCCTGGGATGAGGCAGTGAAAAGTATTCTTGGAGCTGTGACCCGCAGTTATGATGCTGGTAACTTCACCCTGATGCAAGACATTTGCAGTATCATCCTTCCTGAAGGTCAGTCTCTTCTTGTAGATGTCCTGGCACTGACAGATAGGGACATCTTCCTTGTAAGCACAGCTAGGTGTCCATTAGTATTACTAGGCATAATAACGTTTAGAAGGAGCAAGACATACATACATATATGGAAACCTGCGGAATTTGGCCTAGTGCGAGGGCTGTTGGGCGATCAGAATTCCCAGCTCTGGAAGGAAGCTCAGCAGTATCAGCTGGTGCGGGTGATGCAGCAAATTCTGTTCTGTTAAGGGAGACGGGGACTTTGGAAAGTTGTGTTCCCCTCTTAGTTACAAATCACTCCAAGCTGCCCTTCCATTCTTGCTCTGCATAGTATGCACTGCATTTATTTTGCGGCTCTTGATCATGTGAATATCTTCATGTACAGCTTGGGACCAAGGAAGTTTGCTGTACATGATGAGAACATGCAGTCTCATGCTAGAGCAGAGTATTGTGTTTAAAAAGATGCCAGAGATGTCTGCCTTTGTTTTTTTTGCTTCCTGCACCACTCTGTGAGCATCTGAGTCAATCTCTGGTTTGGGTCTCCAGGATAGCCATTCATTTACCAGATCCGGTCGTCTTCTTCGGAAATCACTATAAACTATTTGTAATCCTTTTTTCATTTTTAGGTTGTGATAACCTGAGACACAAACTGGACAACACAGATTCTCAGGGCATGGACGCCTGCAGAAGTTTAGAGGGCTTTGTGGCTTACAGACTGCTGTACGACCTGTGGTGGAACCCACCCAAAGACTCCCTTGTCTTGCAGAAGGCAGGTTTGGATCCTGTGCTGTGTCCCAGTGAGCAGACAGCTCTTGAGAATAGCTACATTTCAGGTCACTCCTCCCCTGAAGAAACTCCTCATCAGACTGCAGCTGAGATGGATGAAAACCTCTGCAATACAACTGAAGCTCATAGGTGTGAGACAGAAAGCGATTCAAGAACTAGCTCAGTCGATTTGGTAGACAGACAGTCAAAACTGAATGGCTGCAAAGTGCTGCTTTCAGAAGAGACTGCTGCTCTACAGAACACCCAGAGAGACATAGCTGAGGTCCAGCAGATCTTAGCAGATATGATCCACCAGCATCAGCAGCAGAGGAACAATCTCCAGGAAAACACGAATGGAAGCACCCAGGAAAGCAACCCGCAGCAGAGTTCAGAGACTGAATTGGACAAACCATGCTCTGACAGCAACCAGATGAATTGGTAAGCTTCAGAACATGAACGAATTGATTGAAAAGCATTGCTTTTTTTGTGTGTTTGTGCAGTAAATTTCTTGTTTAGCTCAGATTAGAAGCAATCTCAGGCTTGTCACCCAGGGACACTTCAACATACAGCTCAAAAGTCTTGCCTTTCCCTGGGGCTGAACTACCATGCGCATAAACTTACTACCGTTCAATAACTTCCTGATACACAGGGTGTGTTGGTACGGTGAGTAAACAGGGCAGCTTGAAAAGGGGAGGACAATGAAAAGGACAGGCATGATCTAAGAGGTCTGTCTCTTTGTGAGCAATTATTTGGGACTTTGGCAAGAGCGAGCCCAAGTGTGTAACACTTGTCCAACTCTCTCCAGTGCTCCCTGTACAGGAGAGCGAGGCTATGCAGTCATTTAAGCAAAACAGTTACTCATAAAACCTGCTCTTGTCTTGACAGTAAAGATGAAGTAAAGGAACCCATTACGCTCCCTGAGCTAACGAAGCAGCTTCTAAAAGCAAAGCAGAAACTAGCAGAATTTCCAGACAATTTAAAGGTAAGTTTTAAGAAGGGGCATTGTGGCTCGGAAACAAGACAGTCTTTTTGGAAGGGCAGCCTCATCACAGGATCCCTTTCATACAGAAAGTGAGGAAGTGACTTTCTTGGTGATCCTGTGGCAATTTTGAGAGAATTAACACATGGCATCAGGGTGATATTTTTGTTTCAAGCATAACTTTCCCCGTGCAGTGGGAAAGTGTAGGTAAATCATGGGAGAACTCAATGGGGTATTCTGTATGAATCTCTCCCATGCACTCTAAGAGTAATCCCTGGCTACTTAGGTATGCAAAAACAGTGAAAATCAGGAATTTAGGATTAGGAATTTAGGAATCGGATTAGGAACTGTAGAAACTACACATCATGTTTGAAAAACAATGTTTCCTAGCCTGTCTCATCCCTTCTGTTCTCTGGTCTACATTATAACTACAGGTAATCACAGTAATTGTGCAAGAGAGAGCAAACTTGGTTAAACGTGAGCTAATGCACTGAAAGAAAAGGAAAAAAATGCACCTAACTCAGGACCATCTGTTCCAAAGATACTGTAAAGCAGTGTCTTTAAAGCCGGCTGCCTGAATATGTTGTAGTTGAACAATTATAATTGAAAGAGTAGACTTCACCTCGTGTTCCTTCTTTTGCAGATGTTCCCGTTCCCCGATGTGCTGGAGTGCTGCCTTGTTCTCCTTCACACTGGATCCCAGTGCCCTCCGGAACTACACCGACAGGCACTGGATCTCCTCAGGAAACACGGCAGCGCCAGTATTTACAAAAAGGCTGGCATGAAGTTCTTGACGTGACGTTTTGAGAGCAAACCGTCTCCCTTGCGCTGCTGTCAGTCACTTAACACCAAGGCTGTTCTTTCTTCAAGTGAAGGCTTGTTTCGATGGCTGTGGCTATTGAAGTCTACTGTTTTGGATAAAACTACAAAGAATCCGGTTTATTTACAGACTCACTTGTGGACATCAACTACTACTACTTAAGGAGATTGTGTTAGAAAATTGAAAAGCAGTAGGTTGTGGCCTTGAACTGTATACAGGATTTTTGTATAGGGTTTTTTTTTTTAATTGTTGGAAGTTATGCCAGTGAGAGCTCTTGGAATTTGCATGTGAGAGAAGCAGTTTTGAGCAGCTATATCAGTAGTATTTCAGCAGAGGAGGAATAGCAGCTGCCTTCAGGAAAGGCAAGGGTTTCTATAAGCAAACTGATCCTTAAGCCAGTATTGTTCTTAAAAGCATTGTGAGTTTATTTTCCCTCCTTTAAATAAAGTCTTCTGCCACCAGGAACTGGTGTTTCATTTGATGCATAGAAATCAGTATCAGTCAAGGCTAAATACATTAAAAATAACCTGGGGTTTTTTGTTAAAGGTACTGCATCAATCAGAGTTGGTAGATAAAACAGGTGAAGCCACCTGTACAATAGAAAAGGGAGGGCAAGATCTTTATATGTGATTCCAGCACAATTAGCAAGAGACAAGGAATTTTTCCAGGCCAAGAAAAGTGACAGTCCCTGCTCTTGGCAACATCCATGGCTGAACAAACTCCTTTTTGCTACAGTGATGATAAATTTGAGGTACTATCCAGTTCTCTAGAAAAGCTGCTCTTCTAGAAGTACCAAAAAACCATCCTAGGTTCTGGAATCTTAAAGGTGCAACATTTTGACCAGTCTGGCAGCTTACCTAAAGGCGTTGCCTTGTCTTGGTAGGAAAACTAACTCTTGCTAAGATAAGAACAAGGCTGCTAACGTCTTGGGGAACATAGCATCTATCTTAGTAATTTCTAGAAGCAACTTTTTAAACGCAGCAGCAAGTTCATGGTATGATAGTGGGGGGTCATGAATTTAGAAAGTTGGTAAGTACAATAATGATTATTGTTCTAAGAAAAAAAGGAGGGAGGGCTTTTTTAGAGCAAGATCTGTTCCAGATTCTTCCAGCAGACTTGATACTGACAGAATTCCTGCTCCAAGCTGAGTAAAGCATCAGAACAACTTGAAGAGCAGTAGGTGAAAGCCAGGGGGGTTATACCAAAAGCAGATCCTTCTGTGGATATGTTACCCTGGTAAATTGTTGCCACTAACTTGAACTTGCTAAATCCTGTACAAAGTACTTGAAAACCAGGAGGGGGAGCTACTGCTTAATCAAACAGCCCTTCTATACATAAGAGCCACTAGAGTTTAAATGAAGCAGGAAAACTTCACACAGGACAGGTGAGCAAATGGATTTGTCACTTTAAGCAGCTATGCTGCACTGAAAGAATGCTCCACAATGATGCTAGCTGTGCTGAGAGATGAGCAGAAAGAGAAGACAAGTCCCCCAAAGAGATTTTAAGCTCAACTTTCATCAGCTACTATACTGTAAGCTCAAAAGCAGATGTTCCTAAGAACTACCCCAGTAGCACATCATAAACAGTAAAAGAAGAAAGACACTTGAGCATCTTCCCTTTGAGCATGTATTGCTCAAATTCAGATTCCAAAGCCTGAACTTTGGGAATTTTAGTGCTTGATGGAAAATCCAAAACAAAGCCCAGTTTAAAAAAAATTTATTTTACAAAAAAATTAAAAACAAGTAGTATTTACAAGCATTTTAAATACCAGCTCTAAAACTCAACTCCTAATAATGGATTGTTTAAGCTTGTTTAAAATGCAAGAGATAGTCTTAAAATGTTAAGTTTGCCATGTCCAAAACTGTTGGGTTTTTTGTTTTGGGGTTTTTTTTAAGAAATGTCATTACAGAGCTGTTAAAAAAAAAAAAGAGCTATTCTGTAGGATCCTTTTTTTTTTTTTTTTAAAGTCAGAATCCCAAGTTGTTCTTCCATCCTCTTAACTGCTTTTCAGATGTTTATAATGAAGAGAAATTGAGCTGTTTTGTCTGTTGTTAAGCATATAGTAAAATTAAGGGGCTGGAGGAGAAAAGGAACAAATATTTATCCATCTGCTGAACTGCATGTGTTGCAATGAGAAGAATAAAATTTGTAGGTTAAGCTGAAGAAGACTGAAGTCAGAGTATTGGTCTAATCCCCTGTCAAAACGTCCTCGAGCAAAGGTGAACTTTTGGGCTCTCTTAATCTATTACAGTTTATTAATACCCATAAGAACTAAGCAGAGGCTCGGTATGGATCAAACCTGTACCATACAGAATTAGAAACTATGGAGAGCTGATCAAATCAGCTCCAGTAATATCCATTCCCACTGTTGTTAAAGCAAATCTCTGAATATTTTTAGCTGCAAGGATCATTTTTAATATGTCATCCATTCCAAAACCTCTGCAGTGATCAAAGGGAGCAATTTCCACAGACTACACAAAGATAAAATAAGCGAAACATGAGGTGAAGCAGTCACCCTCACAACACGCAGAAGTTTTAAAATAAGCTTTATAAAGCACAATTTGCAAATTGGTGTGCACGTCTGTGTCCGTTTTCACTGGATTTCCAGACCCTTAGCTCTACTGAATATTCTACCATTAAGTCTTCCTTGCAGATTCTGTACAGTATAAAGAGGAAAAAAAGAGAGGTATACACAGTAGGTTCTGTCTTTTGCCCTTAGTATTAAAAAGATGGCAAACCACAAATGCTGGCATTAGGAATTCAGTCAACTCTTCTTCTGGGTTTCAAATGAAGATGCAGCTCTTCAGCAAAACTGCAGGCCTGCAGGCTGTATGCTGTAGATGCCTTTTGTTTGAGACGCTATTAGGGAAAATGATTGAGGAGAGCAGCTGCCGACATGGTAACTGTTCTGCGGAGCGGTACCGCTTATCATGGCTGCATGTTGTTGATAATGGCCAAAATGCTCATTTTCTCCTGGGCTGAGTCCACATCTTCGTTCTGTTTCTGAGCCACTCCTGTGCCAAGGCCATACAGCCGCCCACAATACTTTGCATCATCAATTGTATCCTCAAAAAACAACTGCAGATTAAAAAATAAAAAGGGAAGAAACAGATACTGTTCAATTGTGCCTCTACAATGTGCACCCAATGTTAATTAAATAGCTCATTTGAAGTCAGCCACCTGTAAGATGCAGCGTGGGAATTAAAATAAGCCCATGAAAGATAGTAAACCAGAAGTCTGTGCCAGGATCAACAACTCCTATTACTGACAGTTTGAAGTACGATGGCCACAAGGCTCAAAGAAAAAAAACCCACAACAAAACAAAAAACACATTGGGTGTGTCGACACTTATGGATAGGAACTGGAGAAAGAAGAACCATAAAGAAGAACACTGCAATACCTCTTTCATTCTGAAGAATGCCATTCCCGTGAGAAGAGAGTCTGATCCTGCCTGGTGTTGTCGTCCAATTCGCTGCAAATCCAGCTGATCTGCCACTTCCTGAAGGCCACCCTGCAGTGAGAACAGAACAGATTTTATTTTGGAAGATCCATCTCTTGCCACAATTGCCACACTTCTCCAAAACATGCAGGCGAACACTGGCTACAATGAATCGATGTGGATTCCAGCAGTACACACACACCAGCTGTGAGCGAAACAGTGGCAGATGTTGCTCAAGAACGCTTAAATACTCTTCTCAGATTTAGGTGCCTTGCCTTCCTGCTGCAGGTATTTGAGATGACTGTGGGTATATTCATAGGTTACAAATGCTGGACATTTGCCTCCCTTTCCTCAAACAAGGCTATGATTCAGTAGATAAATTACATCGAACCCTCTGAGTGTCTACCAGCTAATCAAGTCATGTAGTAGTTCACGTAAGAAGAAATACTCCACCTTGCCTAGGGAACATAAGCATGCTGAATTATAATTAGCCTCTGAAATGACTGATACACAAACCAGAAGGTTATGGGAGTGTCCACTATATAATATACATATTGATAAGTCTAAAACTGAGACGGCAGTAGCTTTTAGATACAAACTTAGTCATAGGTGCTTATGTGTGACTACTAGCTTTTATACAGTTTTAAGACTTGATATACGCAGCAGTTCTGTCGCTTGGCTTACTGTACATTTACAGTGTATCCATCCCTTGCTTGCTGAGGAGATACACGTACCTTGAGGTTTTTGCAGCTCTTCATTAAGTACTTTACATCATAGATGGATGGGAAGAAAAGGTTCAAAATATGGAAAAATTCATGTTCCTCTTCTGGTAACCTGGAATCTGTCAACAGCTTCACCATGTAGCCAAAGTCATAACCACTGAAAACAAAACCACCAAAACCAGATAAGCAGGCAACACCTATACTCACTTGGTACCAATACCTCATTTTTCACAAGAGTTTTATATGCTGCAGCTTTCAAACCTTCACATTTTCTGACATTCACAAAACTCCTCTAGATAAGAGCCAAAATTCATCCTGATCATCTATTGTCAACGTAGGACTTCTGAACGCTCCCCTAAGTGCCTCCGCTAACCTCCTGCAGAACAGCTAAGTCACTGGGGAGAAGAAACCTTTCTTCCCAACACCACAAGTTTCTGTAACTACGGGCAATATGGAAAAGCAGGAAACCCTATAAGTATCTGTTGCCACCACCTCCTCCTCCATCAAGTCTTTTCACTTGCGATGATATCAAGGACCAGAGGCTTTGTAATCAAGTTGCGTGAAACACTCCAAGAAAGACATCTTAACTACACAGATTTCTTCCTCCATGTAAACACAAGATGGAAGTTGAGAACACCACCAACATTGTAAGGAAGAAGATAAAAAACCCCTTACTTTACAATGCACACAAGTTTCTATGCATAGAAACCACATTTCAACTTGTTAATAGCTTCCGTCCATAGAGCAAGACTGTAACAGCGAAAGGATTTGCAAGCAACGCGTACACAAAATTCAGACCACAGTTAAGAGCCAGTACA